TGGAAAATTCATCTAGATTTGTTTTCTGCTCGACTTCTGCATTACGCATGCCTTACTTTTTTTTCTGTTTTCTAATTATCTAATTGAAATAAGCATCTTATGATGAATCATTAGGTCTTTGTCTTATCTTTAATCCTTCAAACAATATGATGTTTAAAAGTCTTACCTATAAAGACTGTATTCGAATCCTGCATTGGCAACATATCTTAACCAGATGATGCTAATGAAAATTAGCAAGCGTCAAAAAAAGAAAAGACTTGTTGAATGCATCCACGTGACAGCGACTTCTCACGACTATGTAACGCTCGAATAGAAAACAAGGAAATATTATTATTTGAAACAAAATACGCTAATTTATAAAGAATAATCTATGAGTCTCATAGAAAGATGTCAGAATATAAGGATTATTCTGTAAAATAACAAAAAAAAGAACTATAGTTGTTATTACCGAACATTTATTTATCTTATGTTTATCCTTATTTTCTCAAAACATGAAAGAAAGCGCAACATACAAATATCAATAAGATGATTGATGAGAACTTAGTAATACTCACATAATGTAACATTGATTATCCGATAATAAATGACAAAAATATATGTTGAAGCATAGAAATATTATCTTTTATTGATGCAAACATTGTACGTCCAAAACTATCTTTTCACATATCTATAGAATGATCTAGGGAAAATAAACAATAATAGAATAATAAAAAAAATAATTAGCTGGTTCTTTAATTTATATTCTATCTTTTTATTATATTGTCGACAGACTAACAAAAAGTGCAACTAATAAATAGAACGGAAAATATCACTAATTCCAGAGTAGATTAATATATCTCTTTCTTGGACTATTTCATAGTCAGCCAAATCGATACAAAATATTGAATCAGTCATTTCTAACTTGTCGTAATGGCTTTAATATTTGTTGTAGCATAATTAAACTGCATACTCAAGCACAATAAATCTAATTATTTTAACGAATACTATCGACAGCATGCAAGAAGTGGGTTATGTAGATCAGAAATGAAACTGGTCTGGATTTTTTATGACCGGTCTATCGACAAATTGATTAGTATAAAATCTGTACTACAGTACATATCAAAAGTCTCGCATTACTTTTTTCTTTTGGCTCGTATTTCAAAACAACACGATATACATTTAATCTTGTTTTTTACTTCAGATAGCGGATCTCAAGTACTATATGTATGTGTATGTTGGAAATTAATAAACCTTGAATGTGAAATATAGGAAAAAAACAAACTTCAGTACTAAGAAAAAAATTATATAAAAAAGAGATAGAATGGTATTGTTGTTATCAATGAGCCATATTCACAATTCGCTTGTTGGTCACGAACACATATAAAAAGTGGCCACATATTGACTTAATTGTTGCTAAGGAGGGCCTCTTTTTCTTCGTCTATCTTTCTCAATCGTCTTGCTAGTATAAAAGACGGAGAAACTACATTCATGCCTATTTCTTATCATTATGACAATCAAAAGTAAAAAGAATCAATACGTTTTTGAATCAACAGTAGCTTATTTTGTCATGAATGATTGTTTGTGTGAGGCAGTTATTTTATATTCACAGATACTTGAGTAATAATATCAAGAATGATATGAATTGTTCACAAAAAAAGCAATCTTCATTCATGACAAAATAAACTACTGTTGATTCAAAAATGTATTGGTTTTTTTTACTTTTGATTGTCATGATGATGAGAAATAAGCATGAATGTAACTTCTCCATCTTTTTAGTATTATTCGTTTCTTTAAAAAATAGAAAGAAGAAAAGATCAAAAGAGAAGAGAAAATAAAGAATATGATAAACGAATAGTTCCTATACTAGCAAGACGATTGAGAAAGATAGATGAAAGAAAAGAGGCCCTTCTTAGCAACAATTAAGTCAATATGTGACCACTTTTTACATATGGTCGTGGCCAACAAGCGAATTGTGAATATGGCTCATTGTAGTAGTTTTTTGGTACGAGTGAGTAATGCAAAAATCGAGTAAGATTCTTTTTGATGTTTTTTACATGGTTCGATAAATCTCGACTATCTCTACAAAACTGTCTATATTGAAACTTTTAAAAATCCTTTTTCAGGACAAAAATTTACAAAATATTCACATTTTTATATTTTTATCTTGTATGAAAAAACCAGTGAATTTTTCATATAAAATAAATAAAACATGCGAGCCTTTGTAGATTTTTGTCCCGAAAAAAGATTTAAAAACTTTTCAATATAGACAGATTTGTAAAGCTCGTCGAGATCTATCGAATCATGTATAAATATCAAAAAGAATCTTACTCGATTTTTGCATTATTCCCATCTTATTAAAACTTATTACGGCAATCTCATCTTGTCTTTCTTTATGTAGTCTTTTTTCTTAGTACTGAAGTTTGTTTTTTTCCTGTATTTCATATTCAAGAGTTATGAATTTGAAATATACACATACATATAGTACTTGAGCTTCACCATCCGAAGAAAAAACCAAAATTGAATCTATATCGTGTAGTTCTGAAACGTGAACCAAAAGAAAAAAGTGGTGCGAGACTTTGACGTGCACTGTATTTCCATCTCTAGACCGTGTCATTTGATGTAATCAACATCTGGAAAAACTCTCTACATAAGTTTATGTAATAAAAACGAGAAAATAAATAAGTTACATCGATGACCAGTCGATCTAAAATCTGTACTGGATCGGTTTCATCTCTGATTCAAGCACTCTGGAAAAGCCAAGACCAGACGCGCAGAATCTACCCGTGTGCGCGAAAGGTCGTTCGAGAAAATTTTTTGAAAATTTAATAGCATCTGAGAAAATTTTTTTGACAAATATTTTCTCCCATAGGGAAAATTTTTCAATTTTCCAAATGAATTTCAGTTTATTTTTATACAGGATGGATCTAAACTAATGAAATACAATATTTTTTTGATTTCGTCTCTATATATGAATAATAAAACCTCTTATTTTATATCACATTTACTAGGTAGTAATAGTCACATGTGCAGCATGTTATCAGTCTCGAGGCTCAATAGTTTATTTCAAAAGCGCATCAATATATTTTGTATACTCTTTTATGACTGTAGAAAAATTGACTATATTTGGTCGAATTTTATTTTCGTTTTTTTTTTTGTTTGATTGAAATAATTTGAAGAATAAATTGAATAGTATATTCTTTTCTGAATCTCTTTAAGATAAAACAATGCAAAAAATAATAGGAATATGTTTTGGGCTGAAAATAAGTACAGTTAGACAAAAATTGGTTATCAAATTCTACAAGAAAGCAATAATTATTATTCCAGTCACACAGGAGTACATGAGATAAACCGATGTGTCGTTGAAACAAACTCTTGAGTCTAGAGACGAATGATATGCTACGCTTCTGACTACCACTGCCTAGTATATGTGCTATAAATAAGAAATTTTATTATCCATGTATACAAACGCAATTAAAAAAATATTGTGTTATCTTACTTTTGGTCCATCCTGTATACATCGATAAGGCCTTCTAACGGGTGAGGCAAAAGTTCTGCATTAATATTGTTTTTATGTAGCTCTGTAATGGAATCTCGTAGAGACTTTATCATTTTTTTGTTAGAAAGAGTGAAGTGCCTAAT